TCTGCTTGTCTGTCAAGGGTGTCTGAGGTTTCAGGGGCAGAAGTAGACAGATCTTCTCTGGGTTTCTGTGCATCGGGCACTACTGCTTCGTTGGAAGTTGCAGATACATTTCTATCCTTCTTTTCCTTACTGTCTCCGTTGTTGACAGCAGAACAAGGCTTCGGTGTATCGGAGCCGTCTACTAAGTCGACTACCTCAACCGGCAAGACCGACCCGTCAACATCGCGGGCTGCGACAGACCACAGATTTCTCGAAGCTGTGAAACGTGAGACTGTCAACGGTAGGCTTTCATGTGCGCCATTGTTCACACGGATGCTTGTCTCTAAGGCTAGACTTTGCTCCGATTCCCGAATTGCTGTTTGCAATTCTCTTATCATAGTAGGAGAGTCCTCACGTTCTAACTGACTGCAAGTGCCAAAGACCAGCTCTTGATCCTCCAGAGACCGGACGGCGGCTTCAGGTGAGAGTATGACAAGCTCTGGTTCTTGCGCCCTAGCATTCTTCCCCTTCTTTGTTGTCGATTTCTTGGACGTGAGAGCTGATGGCATACTGGCCGAAGAACTGCCTTCTGAATTGTCCATAGCCTCCGTAGCATTGGTGAGATACTGAGCAGTTACCCTCGCTGTAAGTGTCGAGAACTTCTTTGGTTTAGTGGCTTTCTTTTTCGCGGCTGGGGCTTTTGAACTCGAGGTTTCATCTTCAGTGGAGTGATTTTCGCTACTCTCATTGGTTTTTGGCTTGCTCCCAGGATATACTCTAGCGTCAATCAGCTGTGCGGAAGTTAGTTATCGAGAAGAAAGTGAATGATCGTCGAGATCAAGCAAATGGGACATACTTCAATGCGCCTCCTCTTGGTAGGGCCGTTCTCCTCTAGAACCTGATTCATAGCTTGAGGAGCAGAGATACCACCAAACCCAAACTCAGATAGCATAGTCCCAAAGCTTTTCATTTCATTGCTGTTGTGATCCAATTTGATATCCAACCCGCTAGTTTGTTCTATAGTGCCGTCCGTGGGCGTCCAATCCAGTCTTCTCTTTAACGCTTGCTCCAATTGCAGGCCATCCTTCTCCCAGTCGCGGGTCTCATTCGCAGAGTTCTGATCCAAAGAAAGCTGCGGGGTTGAGGGACAATCGGGTTTCTTGCCAGATTGTCCCTCGATTGGCTGCGACGAGCTACCAGCCTTCGCAACCCTCCCCGAAATGGTCTTGTTTGCAGCTGTCGCGCGCTTCGTCGTAGTCTTCGGCACCTTCGGTTTCCTTTCCCTAGGAGTCGGCTTTTTCGACAAGCTCTTTTTAGACGGACCCTCGCCCGTATGGCTTGATTCTTCCACGCCTTCCTCTGCTTTCTTCTTGGGCCTCCCTCTCTTTTTCACTTTATCCTCAGGTGGACCGTCTTTGGCCCCTGTCGCATCTGCCCCTTCGACATCTGTAGTCTTGCATGCGGCGTTTGGGGGTTTCCGAGCTCGTTTGCTGGGCTGTTTCCCGCCCTCGAAGAATTTGGAACGCGTAGGGTCCTGGAAGAGGTCCGATGGAGACGGCGGCTGGGAAGTGGAGGTATCGATCGGGGACAGCCCGAAGAGCTGCTGGGCATCGTACTTGGGTGGCGCAGGTGTATTCACTGGGCTGTGCTCTGGCGAGGACAACAGTACTATGACCTCCGCGGTGGCGGTCATGGTGGCGAGTCTCGACGAGTCCGATCTCTCGGGGACATCTAGGCGACGATGGTCCGTAGAACTTTGCTTCAGATATGATCCACAAGTCTCGATACTATAACGCGGTTTTGAGCATTGGTTGTGGTATAGTGCATGAGTTGCTAGGCCGAACAAGAAGTATTGAATTTGTAAAAGTTGTAGATGCGGCGAGGATCGAGACCTCCGCCATGTGTCTTGGCAAAGTTGAGGGATTTCCGTTTCGGGATGACGACATCGGTGGACTGGGCAACCGCGCGCATGTGATCTGTTCGCCCGTCGCTACCATCTTACTATGTAGTCTGTTTAACTTATGCGACTACACTTTTCACTTTAAAAACGTTTTAGCAATGTATTGGCCACTGGGTATCTCTATGCTATCTGGTCTAGTTCATTGCTTTGCAGGAACTATTTATAGTACATGGCACTGCAACTCCGAGCACCATCTGTCTAAATCCCGTGCACAGACCCTGGAAACCCTTGTCTCTTATATGCTAGAGCAATAGCGCTTCAAATGATCCACTCAATCCGGGAAGCATCTTTTGGGACAAGCCTTGGACGAAGCCAGGCTTGGTTGGGGCTGTTTAACACAGACCCAAAATGCAATAGGCAAGTCGAATAGCGTGAAGCAGCAGATGGCTGCTTTCACAAGCCTGTTGATGTTCCATCATGGGAATTGGCAGGAAAGGATCTCAAACCTTACGTGCCGATCAAGTGGCCCCGCGCAACGCAATCGCTCCCAAGACAGAGAGTTCAAGCTGTCTCATACCATCGCCCTGTGTGCCATTTGCCTGAGTTTGGGGAGGAGTCTTCAGTGCGCCGAGTTTATAAGCCTTCTTGATTTTCGTCACATCGGCAATGTTCGACAGGGTTTCGTCGTCAAATGGCACAGCCGAGCCTTCAACATGTTGAGAAAGATGGGTTGCGACTGAGTCGTGGGTGACGTCCGGTGTCATCGAGACCTTGATCACTAGTAGGTCTTTGGTGGAGTCGGCAATACCGAATTTGCGGAATGATTCGGCGATCTGCAGAGAGTTAGCCAGGCTGGCGGTGTTTGTCGCGTTTCACCTCAAAGACGCACATTATTCGCTGGGCTGAATGAGAAAACAATCTCTGAGTGAACATTGTGAGACTTAAGGCGTCCGTTGATCGAGTCGTTTACAGCTCGGAAGACGGCGGACAAAGCATGAGCTCTGGAGAGAACCTGCGAACCACCATCAGAAACAATGGTAATTGACTGGCCCAGGTTTTTGATGATCATCTCATACCATGCTCGCATCAATGAAGGCATACTCAAAGTCAGCGTTTCCTGAGATCAGCTGTTGTCGGAGAGAAGCAGCATTTTTGACATCCCGATAAAGTGCGACATGCACGGGCATCGAAGGTGGCAGATGCGCAAGCTCTATGGTTTCGACGAACGAGGAAGACATGGCGCGAAGCGAGGCTATTGATTACGGAACAGATCTGCCGAACAGTGGTCAGACATATGACAGAGGCACATGCTAGAAGGTGCGAGGTCACTTACAAGTATTGAATACGTAGGATTGAATCGCAGATATCCGGCTTAATTCCCTTAATTCCCCTCCTCCACCAAGATTATCGCCGAGCGCGGCCAGCGCTGAGTAATTATTGAGTCACTACACGTGACTTCACTTCTCGAACGTTCGGGCCGCCGTAGCCAGCGGGACCCCGGATTGATATCATCGCTTCGCATTTAAAGCGCTTTCCTCCTCTTCCTTCTCATCGTCGTCATCCAGCGATACACCACCCCAACAATCATGGCGTTCTTCTTGCGGCGCCCGTTCGCCGTTCCGACGGCGCTTCGTCAAATCTCCAAGCCTGCTAACAGCGCTCGTTTCATCCACAACACCCCATTCAAGCCTGCCCAGCCGAAGCCTACCGGCCCCGTCTCATCTTCCATCTTCGCCAAATCTCGTCAGACCTTCCAGAATGCTTTCCGCCGGACGTATATGCAGCAGCCAACCTACAACACCCGTGGTGAACTTTTGCAAAAATTGGGCTACGGTGCCGCCATCGTTGGCGGTACCATCATCGCAACGAACCTGATCTTCAACCGCGAGACCCGCGAGGATGGCGGTATGCCCCATTACGAGCGCAGCTACCTGAACGAGACTTTCATGCACACCGGACTTGGTGTTGGTATCATCGCCATTGCCGCTCGCGCTATGCACATGAACGGATTCTCCTACCGCATGATGGCTGCCAACCCTTGGTTGGTTATGGGTCTTGGTCTCGTCGCTAGCATTGGAACCATGTACGGTACTCTGTACACTTCTCCTGACAAGTGAGTACTCCGCGAAGGCGTCCCCGTTCTAGCTAGGCCGAACAGCAATGCTAACAGCACCACTAGCTACGTCGTGAAGTATGGTCTCTGGACTGCTTTCAACATCACTCAAGCCGCTCTCCTGTCCCCTCTGATGTTCATGAGCCCCGCTCTGCTCGCCCGCGCCGGTCTCTATACTGTCGGAATGATGGGTTCCATTGCTTTCGTTGGTGCCACCGCCAAGCAGGAGAAGTACCTGTACCTGGGTGGTCCTCTGCTCGCTGGTGTTGCCATCGTTGCTCTCTCCGGTCTCGCTCCTATGGTTCTCCCCGTCACCGCCACCCGTACTCTCATGTGGTCCGAGAAGATCTGGCTGTACGGTGGTCTGGCTGTCTTCGGTGGCTTCACCCTCTATGACGTGCAGAAGATCCTTCACCACGCTCGCCTCTCTCAGCGCGGTCTCGTTCGCAAGGATGTTGTCAACGAGAGCATCAGCTTGACCCTGGATTTCATCAACATCTTCGTCCGCATGGTCCAGATTCTGGGCATGCGCCAGCAGCGGAAGTAAATGCTCTGCTATGGCTTCTGTGAACACAACATCCGATCCTGTGGCTCCATCGAGAGCCACTTTAATGAACCGGTTGACTACTCGTCACATGAATAACCGGAACCCTTGTGGAGTTCGGATCATTGAGAAGTTGGAACAAGGTTGATTGATATTTCGGTTCTGCTTAAGCGCCCGGTGTAATTTTATTCCTTTCATGTTTCCCACTGATCCTTCTTTACTGCCTGTAGATGGAACATTTCACTAGGGCACATTCCAATCCTCCCTATGCTGGTAAACGGCAATGGTCGGTTCTACGTGCTAGGAATATGAGGGTCCAGCATCAAATGTATGCATAGCTTTAGTATCAGCCGCATACCAGGAGGAAACAATAGACATCTCCACTCATCATCATTCAGGTTCATGTTCATAGCATTCGTAGTATCTTTTTTTCTCGATTGCTCGCTTGTTCAGTAGCTTGTTCACTACGGCGCAAGCATCTGACCTGCAACTTATGTCAAACCCACAACTATACCGACCCTAATCCAGCTCACATCCCTAGGATCACCATCCACAACCCAACCAGTACCCCGATCCCAGTGCCCCAACCCCTAACAACACGAACAGAGACAGCCCCCGAAGGTATCCCCGTATTCCTCCCCGCACCCGCTGAACCTCCAGCACCTCCAGCACCTCCAGCACCACCACCACCCAACCCTTTCCCCCCCTCTCCCCCTCCCTCTCCCCCCATCTCCTCTCCACCACTCCCCTCCCCCTCCTCAAACCCACACAGCCCACTCCCCTCCATCCACTTCACCGGAAACAACACCCTCGGCTCCCCGCGATCCATCCCCAACCACAGCTCCCCGACCTCGCTCACCGTCAACCGCTCACAGCTCAGCACCTCCACCACCTCCACGTCCGGCTGGAACCCCGTCGTCAGCCGGATCTTGTACGCGCCGCTGGCGCTGCCCTGCGTCGACAGCACCATCACCACCTGGCGGTCCTCGCGGCCCTTCCGGAACCCCATCTCGCTGGACCCGCGGTAGATCGGGTAGGTGGGGGTGTCGACGTAGGCCGGGTCGATGCGGATGGCGTGGCGGCGCAGCGCGTTGAGAGCCGCGATGTGCGTGTACAGCGGCGCGGTCTCGGGCGTGCTCGCGTACCCCGTTAGCCAGAGGGCTTCGCGGTTGAGGGGGTCGTGCGCGCCGGTGAGGTGCTGTTCTTGGCCTTGGTAGATCATGGGGATGCCGTCGTAGAGGAGGGTGAATGTTAGGATGTTTTTTGCGAGCTTTGGGTTGGTTTGTGGGGTTAGTTTGGGGGTGATGGAGGGGGATTGGGGATTGGGGATTGGGGGCTTACGTTTAGATCGTTGATGAGGCTTGCGAAGCGCGGGACGTCGTGGTTCTCGGAGAAGGTCGTCAGGGTGCTTACGTTGGGGCAGGCGTGTTTCATCTCCTCGATGCGGTTGGGGAGGTCGGTGGTGTCGCCCATGGTGAAGGCGTCTAGCAGGGCGTAGTAGATCGGGTAGTTGGGGACGCTGGTCAGCTCGTTGTCCGCCTGGTAGCTGCAGATGGTGTCGACGGACCGGTCGAAGACCTCCCCGGTCACCAGCGAGTTGTTGGCCGCTTGCTGGAAGGCCCGGAGGTAGGCCGGGGTGATGTGTTTGGCGGCGTCGAGACGGAGCCCGTCGATTGAGTATTTGGTCATGGTTTCAGAAATCCAGCGGTTGAGCATGCGCTGGACGTCCGGGTCTTCGGTTTTCAGATCGGGCAGGGCGACGATGTCGTCGCCCGTCCAGCACCGCTGGGCCAGCGGGTAGTCGTTGTAGTCGGTGATCTGGCAGTAGGGGTGGTAGTAGCGGGCCTCGTTGAAGGGCTGCAGCTTCGAGTAGTCGATGCTGGTGGCCGGGTCGTGGCCGTTCGTGACGTAGGCCATGTTGTTGATGACCGTGTCCATCATCAGATACATGCCGCGGGCGTGGAGGGCCTGGCTCAGGTCGAGGAGATCCTGCTCCGTCCCGAAATGCGGGTTCAAGGCATACAGGTCTTCCGCCCAGTAGCCGTGGTACGCTTCCCCGTAGGCGACGCGCCCCTCGACGTTCTTGATGATCGGGGAGATCATCACTGCGTCGAAGCCCATCCCCTCGATGTAGTCCAGGTGGTCGATCATGCCGCGCCAGGTGCCACCGCAGTATAGGCCGGCGGTCGTGTTGCAAGGAGCGGTCGTCGACCCATCCGTGCGAGCAAACCGGTCGGTCATCGTCTGATACACCGATCTGGTTCGCCATGCCCCGGTGCTTGCCATCAATGCCGTGCTAAAGGGGCTTATGAGCATCAGTGCATGAAGCCATCGCACGGTGCGGAGTGGTGATGCCATGGCGTGCGAGTGTGTTTGCAGGTGTATGCTGGGAAGAGGCTATGTTATGTGACAACCGATAATGGGGATCTTATTCTCAATGCCACCGCTACCTTTTTTTGTTTCATATGTCTTCCATAGTCCTGCTTGAGAGCAAGAAGACAAAAGAAACAGAGGGTTGATGTTGCAGCCGGTCTATCAAGAAAGCGTTGATCTCAAGATCCTCAAATCTATACTTTAGATGGTATCGACAAATGAATGTGATTGCGCAAGAAGATTAAGGAAAGACAACGCACACGGAGAGTCAAAAATCGGACTCTGTCGCAGAAGGAAGGACTAGTTGAAAAGACAATGGACAGGCATGATGGGAATTTCAACCAAAGGCAGTGCTACCTACCCCTCCCTTTAAAGCGTATTTATCGACAGGCCCGGCCGACTAGGACCGGAAAGACGCAGACTCGGAAATTCAGATTCTAAGCGGCCGAATCCGAGAGGATTCATTATAGGGTTAGGCAAGATGCCCCTCGGTGATTTATGGTTCAAGGGGAGAATGACCGGCATACTGCCAAGTGGAGCTGCCAGAAGTTGCTCTGCAGCTATCATAATTTGAATGGAAGAACCATGGAGAATTTAAACTGTGGCTGTGGATATCGCAATGTACTGTACTGTGCTACCGCATGCTGTGATGCTTCGATCGAGTCTCGCTCGTTCTGATGAAGCATGCAGGCATAACTCCGGACGCACGAACCGGTGCAACATTTTGCGGGGAGGAAACGGTCAATGTAGAGGCGGCCTCTCGTCCTGACCTATGCTGTAAGTATCCTTGAGCGGATTCACATGCAAATGGCTCATCTTGAATCGTCCTGACGGTCTGTGAAACAATGGCAGCCCTTTCTGTATGCAAGGATAATCCCAGCCGCACCGCAACAGTAAATCAAGGCCAAGGGCGTGTTGCGGCATGCGGTAACCTGCAGCTCATGCGGCCTTGAATATGATGAACTGGTTCGGGAACCGAGGAGGTTGGATGAGAAGAATCGAGATGCTCAGGGAGTTATTCTCAAGCATAGTCTTCTGGAGGACCATCCTGCATCCTCACTCATAAACAGGCATCCTTCGGCCTTCTACGGAGTAATTGTGTTTTCAATCCATCCGGGCCTCGCAAGAGAAAATAGTATGTAAGGGACAAAACCCAAAACACTTGCGTCTCACACGGAAAAGCTTGGCATATGCACTTTGACTTTGAGGATGGGAGATTCATACCTTCAATCCGATCTTCTCAATGGGTCTTTGAAGAAACGAGGAATATATCAGTTGAGGAAGGAAGCTTTGCGCCGGGCCTCTGCTCAGATGCGGAAACCGATGGGAAATAGTACCTGCTCATAGGAAGAGCCTGGTGTGATTTCGACCAGGTACGGTACAGTGCATTATGCAAGGGGCATCATCGGGATGGTACTATCAATTCTTTCTTAAGTCCTAGCCAAATTAGCAGATATCACATGTTGGAATCGACTGATAGAGTATGTGATCATGTGAGACACAAGTCTTGACAGCTTGGGTCTCTTTCATGGATCCATGGCTTGGAAAACCTGCGAGATACGGCACCATATAAGATCAGGAACGCGGACAATCGAGCCTAGATCAATCATTTTCTTTTCGATGTTCTGCTGAAGATCATTCGTATTAGCATTACCTCATTAGATATTAACATTCCACATCATGGAAGAATTATCCGAAATGAAAAGACATAATGCGTTTCCTCCCTAAATACCTGCGCCCAACGCTGATGCAAAGACCGAAACGAAGACCTCGATGCCCCAAGTGACCCTCATTCTCGAGCATCATATGCATATGCTGAGTCCGTACTTTCTCGCTAACCCCGAAGATAGGTTGTGGTGAGAGCCCATTGGCACCACAGGCTGTAATAGTCACAATCCCTTCATCCTCTTCATATGTCCTCCTTCTCACTGCTAGATCGAAGTCGAAGGTGATGCGCAGCACACAGTCTCGGCCGCAGAGCTAGGCAGCAGTCAAGAGAGCCTGTCGATATACTCGCGCGGAGTGAACGGGGAGGAATTGATGAAGGCCATGAGATGCACCGCGTATGCCTGATTCACGCGCTCAATCTTGTCCGCGTCGCTCACTGCAACTTTGTACTTCGCCGAGACAGGCTCCTGACGGCGGACCTTATTTGATCCCTTGCCCTTCTCCTTCCTGGCTTTGATCTCCCCCTGGATGGCGCGCACATCCAAGCCCCCGACACGAGGCGTCATCATCATCCCCGCCATCTGACAATAGTTCTCGGAGGTGATCTGGTTGAACGCCTTGAGGATCAGCGCCACCGTCTTCCAACGCTTGCATCGTTTCTCGGGCAGTCGGATCTGGATGAACTTCTCCGGCCAGCGGCACTCGTACAGATCCTCGAACAGGCGCATGTAGGGCGGACACTCGAAGAAGCCGCGCACTTTCTCCTTCATGATCATCTTGTTGCCCCTCACGGCCGAGGCAGTGCGTCCGATCCGCAAGGTGAGGAGCAGGGAGTGGTCGGAGAGACCTTCGAGGTTCACGAACTGCACGTACTTGGCTTTGAGGATCAGGCTGACGTCGACCGACATGCAGCGGTTGACGGGGTTGGGGTGGTGCTCGTTGATGAGCATTCGGCTGCCGACCGCATCGAAGGCCACGTCTAGCTGGGTTTCGCTCTGGTGCAGCTCGCGGATCTGGCCTGTCTCCGGACCGCATACAACGGCTTCGAGCTTGGGGAAACGGATGGGATATCTGAAGTGGCAGACGCACGACGGATCGTCGCTGGCCGAGCGAGTTCCAAGGTATGAGAATTCATGTCATGTTTGTTGTTGATGTAGGAGGAGGGGGGGACTTGCCATGGATTGTTCGCGACTGACACACGCTTGGTTTGATCATCTTCAGCTGTCGGTTTCTCAGTTGCATGAGGGTGAAGTGCACGAAAGTACTTCATGGTGGATTGAGATTGCTTTCTCTCAAGAGCTTGTGTTTAGGTTGGCTCGTGCAAGATGTGAGTTATGTAGAGATCTGTACACGGGGACGATGAGGGGAAAGAGAGCCGTGTGAGGGAATGGGACTGGTGTTAGAATCGCGAGGGTGTTTACACCATGATTGCACGCAGCAACTGTCAGTTCACTGGCAGTTTTCACTGGGAACACTGTGCTTATCTTTGTAGCACTCCATAGTCAAGAGATGATCTTGCCTAACTTTCACTTCACCTCAAGGTGCTATGCCACATCATAGTGATAAGCTCTTGGAGGAAGTACCACTGCATTTGCAACGAGAAAAGCTAAAGAGAGCATGGAAGCTTCTCAATGTCATTTCAACACTTGCACATCAAGCAATCAATCATTGATGTGGAGAGTAGACTGTGCTCGCAAATTCAAAATATCATACAATGCTCAATATTTACTAGATGCTACATGCGAAGATTGAGCTAGAAACCAAAGCTTAATGTCCCCAACATGTCAGCTATACAGCGGTCACTGGTCTTGGATCAGCTTCACAGAGTGAGATATCATCCCAGCACGCAAACTGCCGTTCACATGTAGAACACCTCCAGCCACGTTTGATTGCTTAGTATAATAGACATGCTGCCCCAAAGCTGCTGTTCCCTAGGTTGAATGTATCAGTCGGTGAGCATCACTGGTGAAGCTTCGCTGAAGGATACTAATTCATTCCTTAAAGATGGTGGGTGTCCTACAAGAAGCTACTGCCTAAGATAAGTAGTTATAGCCATTGCACCCACTAAGCGTACTGAGTAAGACCATATATTCACCTACGGTGATAGGCAACTTGTCTCAAAGCTGGTCAGATACAAGTTACAGAAGGAGCTTGAGTCTATGCGATATTGCATTCCATAAGTAGGTGAGATCCAAGTGCAGGTCATCAGCTGATCTACATATTTAGGTATCATCATGGACTCACTGTCAACTTCACGACCTCCCCAGTAGATACTCCTTTATTCGTTGACTGGAAAATCAAGATTTGCTTCCTGCTTGGATTGCACTCTATTACACCATTCCAGCCCTTGAATATGGTTAGGGCCAGTCACTGAGTGCCGTCGGGAGGTGAGTCCGATTACCTAAGCACACCGCAAAGCTTCGCAAGATCCCATCGCAAGCCTCGGACGGTGAACTGCAAGTCCAGCCATTGGCCCTCCTCGAACTACTACCTCAAAGCTATCTCCTTCCGCAGCGTATAGCTACAACTCCGATACCACCATCATGTCTACGGAAATGGAAGTCGACCCTCCGGTGGTGCAACAAGAGGAAGAGGAAGAAGCTCCCGCGCAGTCCAGCAACGGTAGCCACGATCCGAGAACACAGGCGGGAGCCGTCGCAGTACGCAGCATCGAGGGATGGATTGTCATCGTGACCAACATCCATGAAGAGGCCTCCGAAGAGGACGTCACGGACTTGTTCGCCGAATATGGAGAGATCAAGAATTTCAGCCTGAACCTGGACCGCCGGACGGGTTACGTCAAGGTCGGTTACTGCTCCCTTCACTTCAACCATACACAGCATCACCGGAGCTGGAAAGCTCTGCCAGCTGTTACTCCCTGAACTCCTCTCGTTGCTTCTCATGGTATGCCAGATACTGACTCGTCTGTGGTCAAACAGGGATATGCCTTGATCGAGTACTCCACCCTCCCCGAAGCCTCGGACGCCATCAAAGCCTTGAACGGCTCCAAACTACTGGACCAAACCATCTCCGTCGATTTCGCATTCGTTAGACCGCCCCCCTCGAATAAAGGAAAGGGTGGAGGACAGAGAGGTGGACGTGGCGGCGGTAGAAACCGCAGCAGAAGCCGCGAGAGGAGCCGCAGTCCTGGAGCCGATGATGCACGGGACTAAGCCCGCCGTGATGTTTTGTTTGTTGGGAGAGCGTTTTCTTTTCAATTCATCTCACAGGCCGTGGATGCGCCAGACACTTGGCCTTTTGTTTGCTCCAGACCTCCGCCAGCATTGGGGTCCTGCTATTTTGCGCTCGCACTACAATAAGAATCGTATTGGCTGCTTAGGGTTGTCCAGATAATTCATGCCATGGGCTGGAAGTCTGGGGGCTGGCTCGACCAAATCGGCTCTAGGGGAGAGGGAGAGGAGGGGGTGGGAGAAGCAGAACAAAGCCGGCATTGTCTCCTGGGAGTTCCATATTATGCTCGTCGCCTGACGGGGGAAAAAACCTTCAAGGGAGCATGGTGCCGGCATCATGAGGTTTCAGTGATATGGTATGTGCTACTGGTCTCTCTCATCTGCTCTGCCTATCTACTTATGACCGTCATCTAATGTTGCAGTAGGAACATCCAGCCTGAATGACTGATGTTACAGAGCTAGATATCCCGTTCTGTCTACTAGCGTGTGTATTTAACCTTTGTGTCGGTTGAACTCACCGAATACGAATGTCGCGTGGCCATTTCAATGCTTGTAGCGCCCTTCAACCAGAATGCTTTGTTGCTCACCTTGGTGATTTACATGACAGGCACCCTTAACCCACGAGACTGTTGGGAAACCATGGATCCTTGTAAATACTCTCCAAATGATTGATAAATGATCATCCGAGAAGTAAATGCGGGGATTGGGAGGGGGGATTTGGGAAGGGGGGGGGGGCTCAACGCACCGGACAAGCGAAGCAATCAGCCTAGGATTGTCGGGACTCCGGGGTAAAGTTCTGAGTGGCATGCGACCAACAACAAGGAGGGCGCGTGATGCCAGACCAAGATTTGACTGCAAGAAAGAAGTGCCAACTGCCAGTTGAAGGTGCCGTGGAAAGAGATGGAGCTCATTCCCAGGTGGGATTAGTTAAGCCCGCCGAGACTCCTCCCTTCTCCCTTCCTTCCTTCCCTTCCTTCCTTCCCTTCCTTCCCTCCCCCGCACAACGCCGAAGTTAACCTTAGACTCCCGACTCTTACATTTCCCCATCTCTCAATCATCATCATCATCATCATCACTCCGGACTAAGCCCGCTTCCTCCTTCCCTCCTTCCCTTCTTCCCTCCTTTCCTTCCTCATGGCACGGACTGGGCAGCATTGAGCCGATTATGTCTCATTCGATCAGCTCCCTCAATTGCATGCAGCCCACTCTCCGTGCATCTATCCCCCCCGCGTGTCTGAAATAGCTATTTTTAAAATCAAAAGACAATCGTCATCCCTCTTATCTGCCTTTCCACTGCTGCCGCTGCTACTGCTGCTACTGCTACTGCTACTGTCCCTTTCCTCCCTTTATTATCAGGCTTTCGAAACAAGCAGATCCCCAACCCCTCGGATCCGGGGTAAATACAGTTAGAACAGAATTACAATCATGCAAGCATTTCTGCTCATTTTTAAATTTCTCTGTCTGCTCCTAACCCTGTTTGAGACCAATGCGCTGGCGTTGCGGTCGCAGGACGTCCTTGCGCCAGTCGCCCTGGACGCACAGATTCCGCTCGAGGGAACAAATGCATCACCGTCGGAGCACCAGCTCCCCCTGCCTGCCCCGGATTCACCTCCCGAGTCCACCGAGAGCATCAGCCGCACGTTGCACGACTTGTTGGATGCTCTCCATGTGATGCAGGATGCTTATTTCGAGCTGTGGCAAGGCACTTGGCCGTCGAGTATCGATTGGACTGCGGCCGTGCTGGGCACCCATGTCTCTGCCACACTTGCCTCGCTGACTGCCACCACCGGCGACGTGCTGTCGACCGCTGTGTCACCGGATGATCTTGAAGATTGGAAGCACTCGACGAAGCGCGGTCGATACGGACTGGGCTCAGAGAACCTGATCAACCACTTCTTCGACCAGACTTCCGCGTTCTACTTTGGCGAGAATGCCATCTCCCTGCGTGGTCAGGCCTTCGATGATATGCTGTGGGTAGTCCTGGGTTGGCTGGAAAACATAAAGTTTCAAGTCTTGCACTCTGATCTGCACTATGACGACCCTTTCTCGCCCAACGCAACTGCGAAGCTACGCTGGCACGGAACCCAGTTTCGATCCCCCGCGGCGCATCGAGCACGTGTGTTCTACGGCCTCGCGTCCGGGGGGTGGGATGAGTTGCTCTGTGGCGGTGGGATGATTTGGAGCCCTTACTTGACCCCCTACAAGAATGCCATCACGAACGAATTATATATCTCGGCGAGTATTGGGATGTACCTGTATTTTCCAGGTGACAAGATTCAATCCCCCTTTGTGGCAGGAATCGTTGAGGATGAGGACTGGTCAGATGGCTATCCGCATAACCCTGCCCACCTGCAAGCCGCCATTGAGGGCTATGCCTGGCTCAATTCATCTAACATGACCGGGTGCAATGGGCTCTATGGTGACGGCTTCCACATCAGTGGCTGGGAGAGCGATGACCGGCCTGGCACCCGCAAGTGCGATGTCCTCAACACAATGGTATATACCTACAACCAGGGGGTGATCCTTAGCGGGCTTAGGGGACTCTGGTTGGCAACTGCTTTGCAGCAGTACCTGTATGATGGTCATCAATTAGTCCTGAATGTGATCAAGGCAACCGGATGGCCCGATAAGGACAGTCAACAGTGGCAAGGTCTTGGACGCGGCGGTGTTCTGGAGGAAGTGTGTGACTCTTCCGGAAGTTGCTCTCAGAACAGTCACACATTCAAGGGGATTTTCTTCCATCACCTGGCGGAGTTTTGTCGGCCTATCCGGCCGCAGGAGGTACGATTCCTGGCTAGTGCGAACCAGACAGATGAGGAAGGAGAGGCATGGCAGTATGTGTACGAGTGGCACCAAGCTCGCTGCCGCGCATATCGGCCGTGGATCGAGCATAATGCGAACGCGGCTCTTGTGACCCGGAACAGCGAGGGCAAGTTTGGCATGTGGTGGGGAAACCAGTCCCGCGCGTCTGGGAGCACTATCACCGATGAAAGCCCTCTGCCGCTGGGGGCGATTGACTATGAGAACTATGGAGCACGGGCTGAGGGATCCGAAGGGCTGACGGGACTTCTGCGCAGCCGTGACTCGCGGAGACTCGCCGATGAGAGGTCCGGCTCTGGGATCGGAACGCAGCCGTACGGTTGGGGGCTCGCATCCGGGTGGTCACGCTCCTCAGAGGAACAGCCAGACGTAACCGAGCAAGGCAAGCACGATGCCAATGATCGGGGCCGAGGACGTACTGTTGAGACGCAGTCAGGGGGCATTGCAGTGTTGCGGGCCCTGTACCAATGGAAGAGCTCACCGTCTCTAGCATGATTGGGGGAGGTTGCTTAGAGTATCCTGTATAGTTTAGCGGTTATGAGTATAATGCACATACCTATATGTTAGGGGTCATTATAGACATGGGGAATTGGGGCCCGGTGGCAAGGCACCTGCGTCATCCGATGTTGTAGCCGTGCATGCATACGAGATGATTCCACAGGATTCCCAAATGAGTGTTAGACCTTGTTGAATCATGCATATACCGAGTACATTGTACATCATTCTCCATGGCAGGTTGCCAGATGGGGAGAGGAAAGCTTTGGCTCACCGCGGCTAACCCCTTTGTCCCCCTCCCCTCCCCCGATTATGCCGGCCCCATCTGACCGACAGAATGATATAACGTGAGATCGACCCTCGTCCCTAGAAAAAAAAAACCACAGTAATCAGCAGACCCGCGATCTGCATAATGAACTGTTCAAATGATGTAAGCCAGGCGGGATTGACAGGATGAACGATCCGCCAAAGTTCGGTAGTTGGAGCAGTCGGTGTATGTACTGTTCAGTGCTCCGTAAAGTCTCAGAATTGATTATAATGCTGACCCGGGCCTCGGGGACTCCTTTCCCTTCTCGTCTCTACCGTATCCTATGTGGCCTCTTCAGGTTCCTTGTGCCAATAGCCTGTTATGTACTTAATTCTTGCTGAAAAAAAAAATTCTTGATTAAAAAAGAGAAAGGCGTTTGTCGGTTACTCGGCAGATTCCGTAACTCAGGATTTCTCTCCTTTTCTTTTCTTTGGGTCTTTGGGTTCTTTTTTTTTTATTAGTGCTATTACTCCATACTTCCAATCCCTTCCTGTTGTTCCCCACTAAGATAGTACAACGACGACGACGGCATTACTTCCCGATTCTTTGATCCCTAGCCCTGAGGGTAGTTAGTTCGTTCTACCAATTTCTTCTTTCGGGAGACTTTCACACAGAGATCCTCAGACTCAGACCAACTTCCGTAAAAGCAACAGCCATAATATCAGGTCAATTGGGGGTGGGGGATCCGCCACCGAGAAGTCACCGAGGTTGCTATCCTCATGTATTCATACACAACAATGCGCAGTACATACATGCCACTCACAATCCACACCGTCGATGAAACAAAGTTGATGATGATGATGATGATGCAACATTCATACCTAGAGGTTTCCTAGAATTTCTTGATGAATTGATTCGACTTGGTTTGATTGAGACTAGTCTGTTTTTATACAAGGCGAGCACGAACCACCGCCCCCTCCCCCTCCCCCTTCCGCCTCCCTTCCGCCTCCCTCCCTCCCCTAAAAGCCACGTTTTTTGTTGTTTCCCCTAGATTGCTATGAGTACTAGTGCTAGGGATTTCGGAGTTGATATCAATTCGGGACGAGGGGGATTCATTTGAGGTTGGTGGGTGGGTGGGTGACAGTCGGGCTCAGGCTTCAGGGGACTTGTTGTAGAATACAGAGTATAAGTTATTCACCTATATTGGGGTTCTATGCTAGGCTACTAGGTAGTAGTCAGTGGGCTATATCGTACAGTGGGCGGTCGTCCGGATCCATGTTGTGTGTTGTTGTTGTTGTGACAATGTGCATGCACTGCACTGCGGTGGTTTTTGGTGAACTGTGGGTTTTGTTGGTTGGTTGGCTGTATCTTTTCTACTGTATGTTACTCTTCTGGGTATGTAGGAACTTCATATACCGGTTGAAGGGGGCAGAAGATATCGGGAGTACGTATGAGGTGCTGTACAACAGGCGCATAAGTACTGTACTTGGGACTATGAGTATGTCGGATCCGCGTTATCAAACAGCATGACTATCTACTTGAGTATTCCAGGCGAGCTAACTGGTCCCCAGGAGGTTGTGGGAGGATCGGACATGGTGGGGACAGAGGATTCTCATTTCTTTCTGGAAGATGGAGGGAGGGTTTCAGGTTTCTTTCGGGGGGTCGATTCTGATGACCCTGTACCCGTACATTAGTTGCTGTGCGGAACGGACTACGGGGAAGATTGGAGGATTTGGGAATGATACCCCCTGGGTGCTGGAGCAGGAGTTGACTTATGAGCACCTGAGTTTCTTTGTTTGTCTGTCCATGCTCATTTCATGATACGTACGTAACTGTTGACGTTTGAGCTAGAGGGATGCTATAGATGGATAATGGTTGATGGTTATCTATAGGTATTGTCATAGTGATGCCCTTTTCCCTTGAGGGGATGGATTTACTTGCAAGCTATCCGATTCTATATCTTCATCACTTCAATATAGATGTATTTATAGATCGTGGAAATGTACTGTACATGAATAGTTCTGAGCCTTTCTTCAAGGCCTTTCGAATGTGGTTGGGGGTTTATAACTCCGAACCTCCGAATGTTTACCACACTCCCATCTAGTAACTATCTATGTTGATTGGACCAAGGATCTCTCAACATAAGAGTGCAATGTCATGTTTATATGCCCCTAAACAATCGCCAGTGTAGTTGAACTACAAATCAGGAACTCAGAAATGGTTGACTTTTCTAATTTCTTTCTTTCTTGCTGCTTTTCCATCTTGCGGTTTGGGCTGAAAGCCACCATGCAGGTTTTCGGAAGGGGGGAGGGGAGGAAATCGGATTGGATTTGTTGTTAGTCCGAGTGGATATGTGAAAAGTGGTTTACTTTTAGTTTCGATACTTTTTTCCCATATGAACCCCCGGTCTCTGGCAAATCAACGATCGAGGAAGGGAAATACTGGGCTCGGAACTGGGGACCATTTTTTTTGACACCGTGATTGATTGATTGATTGATTGATTTGGTTAAATGAGGGGTGGTGCCTGAGCTTGACTTTTTTTGTTGTTTTCCTTGTTGCTGCTGCTGCTGCCAAGTGGGCTAGCTAGTTGGTTTGGAAATGCACTTTGGATTGATTGACAGGAAACATAGATTGGTTCGATAGATGGACGGGCAAGGGGTGTGTGTGGGCAGTGAGAACGGTGAACGGGTTATGAACTGGGAAATGTTGCATATCTGCCAGGGAAAATTATCCCCCAAGCTCCAATGGGTGGGTGCTACTACTGGGCGGTGGTTGGTACCTGGCTAGTATAGTAGCATCTACCACCAACTTCTTGACTGGTTTACCTGATTTTTGCTTGGTGAGTTGGTATGTGCTTACTGTACCTGAGAACCAGTAACCAACCTAACACACGGTCAGGGCGTGGTAGCCTACCAGGCAATAACAATAGCCAAGAGGTGTATACGTACCACGACCTGACTCCATTTGGTATGCTAACGGTAGAGCAGGGGGTGGGAAAATCAAAATAAAGGAGGGGAGCAGCCGAGGTGGTGGATAGTGGGTAGTGGGTAGCTTGATGGGGGGTTCCAATCACTAGGTGATGGATACGGAGGGACGATTGATCCTTCTCTTCCACAGCCCAGTAGTAATGGTTGCCCCTCCTTCTGAACCGACGGCGATGACTGACAGCCTTTGATAGATGATGACTGTGGCTCCGAAATTGACCTTCTTTCTCCGCCTCGTGTATGTAAGTCTGAGGAGAACGGTGTGCCGTGTGAAAATCAAAATGAGGAGGCGGCAACAGTTATGCGCCGATCAAGATTATCGATAGGGAGAGCCCATCCAATATCAAGTGACATTTGATCATGGATTGCTGAGACCGTCAGCCAAAAGATGGCCCTATCTTAGTCATCGTCAAGGTTGAGTGAAAGAAAGGAAAGGCTTGCTCGCACTTGGCGGTAATAGCGGAGAATCGCAGTTCAGCCACTACCCGATCGCAGATCGGCGGTTCTGTTCTTTATCGTCACTCGCTCAGGGAGTGTAGGAAACGAGGGCAGCATCGTGGACAGGCACTTTAGCTTGCTTGTCATCACGGTCAGCGCGACCAGGGGGGAGGGGGGGGGAGATGTGGTTGTGAGGTTCGTTCGCTGTCGGGTGATTTCATCGCTGTTTCAACTGGCGATGGGACATGTGTATCCCGGTACTCGCCTGGTACTTACCATTTGACCTGAAGTGCTGTATGATATGCTGTCCTGTAACCACCTAAGCTATCTGTCTTGACGGTTCCTGAAGCATAATGAAAGGATCCGGTGGATAAGGTGAAGTTATCAAATGCCTCATGCTGAAGTAAGGCAGGTAGCCACTCTCCTGCACTGCACTCTGTTTCTTGCAAAGGAACAGGTGCACAGTGGACAATCCATCATCTTCACCATCACAATAACAATCAACATCATCATCATCATCATCATCATCATCATCATCATCGGAGAAGGGTGGAATGGACTGGTGGAGCAAGAAGTAGTCACGCGGTCAGTCAGTTGTGTGTACCCTTACTTAGTACATCACGGGAACGCTGGTATGGTATGGTAAACTCGACCGGAAGACCCCCTCTGGGATCCTTCCTTCCTTCCTTTTCTCTCATCTCGGGATTTCCTCGCTTGTCTCGGTTTCATGTATTCCCTTTAGGTAAACGAGGCTGAACAATAACTTATGGAGAATGACAATTGATTGACTTGGTGACCTTTCTTCACATTTGAGACAGCAGCAGGTAGCAGCATAGAAGCAGCAGCAAGCGAAGGAATTCGGATTCCATGCCTGCCGATCGTCAAATAAGCATTGTGTCTCTCCTTTCGGTCCTTAAGAGACAAAGAGCGACAGTAAGACAGCCCCATCGACATTCCCCATCGCCTGATAGCGAGAAGTGGAGGAGGAAGAGGGTGGTACTGTACTGTATGTATCTCCGTACTGTGCTTCCAGTTATACGTACTACATGACTGACTTACTACAGCTATTCCTCTTCATTATCCAAGTCGCATACCCAACCAAGTTAATCCACTATGCTATCCACTATACGCACACGCGCGCAGAGCATCGGACGACAGGTATAGTGTGGCTAAGTAGTAGTTCATGAGAGATGATAGGGAATTGATTGTAAGCGCAGTTGACTTGATAGTCCCATGATCTTTTTCCGGCTCTTTGGATCTCTCATAGTCATATTCTCGCTTCCTTCAGGGGATGAGAGAGTGTTCCATAGTTAAGAGTAAGATGTGAGAGC